GATGTAAAAAACTGATGTTAAAAACTGGTAAAAAAAAACTGATGTAAACTGAATCCGTTTTTTCTTTGAAAAAATTAGACTGCACTCGGAGAGTGACCATAAACCTCTATACTGTATATGAAGAAAAAAGATGGATCATTTATGTGCTCCACAACAGGAAAGGATCTGGGGGAAGGCAAAGAAAAGATCAACTGCAGATGTAAATCTAGATCCCATCTGAAATTTAACCCCTGAGGGTAACTTAAAAATCCACCATGCTTCCCTATTGTAAAGTCTCCTCTCTCTGTGACCTCCTCTTGGCAAATGAGACAGCCTCTCAATGCCAGTGAACCTGAAGTTTGAGATATCACCTCCGTGACAATCCCTAAAATGACAAGATACATTTGAAATATATCTTAGCATTTAAATTATTGGTGTCACAGAAGTGTTCTCCAGTCCTTGTTTGTAGCATTCACGTGGTACATCCCACACGTAATTTGCAAGATAAACAAGTGATTAGATAAATCACATAGTTCTTGTCACAATTAATATATTGTCATATGGGAATTCCTCCCCGGATGAAAAAGAGAAAAATTTCCCTGTCATGTTTAGATGGCAATATTTGGAAGTTTTCCTTTTGCAAGGATAGCTGCCTGTACATGACAGCCAAATAGGCTGATGCCTCTTGCTGGAAGAGAGAAACAAACCTGGTGACAGATTAGGAAAGTAAAGTGGGCACCCGTCGGCTGGAGAAACAGCAAGAATTTTGTAACACTGTGTGCAAGCCTTTATCAGTATATAAGATAAGTTCTTTTTATTGATTTTTATGATTTGATATTATTCTTTGGAAAAGGTAGTGTCAAAAATTACCCAGCTGTCATCCCTATGGTGGCGTTTTGACTTGACAGATGCAGCCAAAAGATCATGCCTATTTCACAATCTGGCTCCATTCAAACCTCTCTGCATGACATACTTGTCATAACTCCTAATAGATAGACGTGATGTAATATTATGACAGTCCCCTTCAAAAGCCAATTCTGTAGAACAATTGCATTTAGTCCAAATTAATTCTCCATAGGGTATGGCATTGATGATGTGGGATAGGTGACAACTGGTGGCAAAAAGGGTTGCATTGCCCTAGCATGGCTTTCTGTAAGTGTGGGTAGTAAACTGTTATACTGTATAGAAAATTGTAAATTTAAATGGTTGGTGTTAATATACACCACAACATTTTCAACATCAGAAGCATCACCATCCCACACCATCAACAGGTCGTCTATATAACGCAGTGCAGTGGCAGTAGTGCAAATCAATTTCTTTATTCGGTATATATGCAGCTGCAGCCACAATCCAGGTATCACTTGTTTCAGACAGCGATCAGCTTTCAAGTAAATGTGATCTAAGCAGCTTTAAAGCCACCTGATCACTTTTACAGTGCTCGGAAAGGGGGCTGTTCCCCCGGGAGCCCAGGACTGCCGTAAGCAGTCAGGTCTGCTGCACACAGAGAAGATGGAAGAACATTATTACCCAATTCTTTTCAGTGATGAATGAAGCTGGAAGCGACAAGATTTTCATCACTTCGGATTTCAGAGCTAGTACAGCCAGGGAAGCATCTGATAAAATTGATCACTGTTTGATCAGTTCATTTGAAAGGCGGGACACAACACATACCATTTAAGCTTTTCTGAAGGAGTGGTTTCCCAGGGATCACCCAAAGGTGGACAGAGTAGGAGACAGATTAGGGTAGGGCACTTAAGAGAATAGGAATTGCTCTGGAGAAGTCCTGGAGGTGAGCATGGGAGGAACTATCAAGGAGGTTAGAGAGCAGGAACTCTTGGGAAGAACAAAGAACACAGTTTGGTTGGTATTTTGAGATTAAGTTGTTAATGTAGCTCGGGACAGAGTTGTGGATAGCTTGTTTTGTCTTGTTAGTATTTTGAATTGTATTGGTTGGGTGGAAGCCAGTGGAAGGATTGGCAGAGAAGGGTAGTAGACGCTGCATGGTTGGTAAGTTGGATGAATAAAAACAAACAAGGGTGCACTCTCATCATGCATTACCGGGTACACCACGTAATTTATTGACTAAAAAGGATGTATACTCACAAACTAACGTGATTATAGGCAGTATAGGTGATCCACAAGGACAGTCACAAAACAACTGTGTCTAATGATGCGGATAAGCTGATGCGTTTCGGGAGCTGAACCCCCTTCCTCAGAGCCAGGGATGTGTCTGCTGGCCACAAGCCTACATACTAATGGGATGTCAGAAGACACTCCCACCCACTCTCAGCTGACCAGAAAAAAAATAAAAAAAATAATAATAATGACACAGAGGGGTTTATTTACTAAAGCTGGAGAGTCCAAAATCAGACTCACTTCTGCATAGAAACCAATCAGCTTCCAGGTTTCATTGCCAAAGCTTCATTGAACAAGCTGAGGTTAGAAGCTGATTGGTTTCTATGCAGAAGGGAGTTTGATTTTGGATTCTCCAGCTTTAGTAAATAAACCCCAGAGTGTCATGAACCCCGAAGCAACAAACATCAATCAGTGTGCTGTATACAGAGCACACTAGTTGACATCTAATAAATATATGGTGAGTTATGATTGGTAATAGATAAATAATTAATAAATACATTGATGCATAGTATATAGTAAATAATAAATGACCAGTGGTCAGATTTCCCGATCTGAGAAGGGCAGCACCTCTTCGATTGGCATTTTGGCAATTCCTTGGTTTGCATGAAGATTGGAGCGCTGGTTTCGTTTGTCTATCTCTTGGGGTAAGTTGGATGAGTCTGGCAGAAGCATTCATAATCACCTATGTAGGTCAACAAGGTGGGAGTTGAGACAAGAGATAACTGATATTAGTAGTTTGAGAACAAGCAGAAGAGCTTGTCACCATCCAAATGTAAATTTTTTTTAATTCAAATCTATGATAAAAAGATAGAGTTGCACTCACTGACCCAAGTGGGAACCCTCTGTGGAGCTGCCCTTGTCTTCAGAGATCGTTGGGGGGCAAGGAAAGCTGGTAAAGGCAGAGCTGCACCCCAAAGCTTCTGGAGAAGGGAGAATGGTTGCTGTCAAGCTGGGCTGCTTATGGGACTGCTTTCATGAATCGGCTGGAATCTGCTCTACATGGTTATCTTCAACAGTGATGTCGCTACTACAGCAGGGGAATCTGGTTCCAGCTAAGTTGCTGAAGCAATCCCATAAATATGTGAAAAATGTAATTAATATAATCAACACATCTTTTCAGTGTATGCACATTTCCTCTTTGAAACTGCTGCAAATACAAAAAATATATAAATTGATTTTGATAAAAATGAGCTCCTGGCTTACTGTGTAATACTTTCTGTGATGCACTGAAATCTCAAACTGTTATTGGCCCTGACCAGTTCACATCTGTGGTCTACAGAGCACTTGCCCTCTATGTTATAAAGGAGGCATTGTTATAGTCCAAATCAGGAATGAGCAAACTAGGGTTAGATTGGTGGTACTCCATAGATATAGTAGAGTAAGTGAATGCTGTAACCCTAAGAGCCCCAGGAATAGAAGAGTTTCACTGGAAGAAACACCTGGTGTAAATAAAGGAATAAAGCCACTAAATCTAAAGGCTGTTAAGTTGTCATATATTACATTATTTTCTTGGTGTTATACATACACTTTGAGTATGAATATTTATTACACAAGGCAGTTCTTGATCAATTCTACTGTCAAAGGATTGTTACTCACAGACTGTCCTAATCTCTTTCCTGATGATAAGAATAAAGAGCTATCAATAGAAAATTTCTGACCCTGACTGAAATTTGTCTTCATAAAGATGTATCCAAAAAATATCCATTACAGTTATAAGCAGTTAGAATTTTGCCATCTTGCACAGGACAAAGAGCTGTTAACATCTAGTGGTATCTTCATGATACTCTCTATAAGAATGTTAATTACCATGCTGAAATTATTTTCAGCAATAACTGGCAAGTGTAAAGCTAAAACATTCAGAAGCATGAGCCATAAAAAAGGCTTATTTTAAGCCCAAATACGTTTCTGACATTAATGGACTAACCCAGAAAGAATTTTGTATGTGCAGCCATCTATAGCAGTGACCAAAATATTTAAATGAACAGAAGTTTTGTATTAAACATAGCATCATGCATAATCAGTAGTTTCACCAGTCAATAGCCAAATATGGAAATGAAGTAAAAGCTAAAAATGTTTCCCATCACATCCCTTTCTTAACAAAAAGCAGAAAACTTAGTAAATGTTTTTGTAAATACAGTATCTCACAGAAGTGAGTACACCCCTCACATTTTTTGTAAATATTTTATTATATCTTTTCATGTGACAACACTGAAGAAATTACACTTTGCTACAATGTAAAATAGTGAGTGTACAGCTTGTATACCAGTGTAAATCTGCTGTCCCCTCAAAATAACTCCACACAGCTATTAATGTCTAAACCGCTGGCAACAAAAGTGAGTACAGACCTAAGTGAAAATGTCCAAATTGGTCCCAACGTTTCAATATTTTGTGTGGCCACCATTATTTTCCAGCACTGCCTTAACCCTCATGGGCATGGAGTTTACCAGAGCTTCCACAGGTTGCCACTGGAGTCCTCTTCCACTCCTCCATGATGACATCACGGAGCTGGTGGATGTTAGAGACCTTGCGCTCCTCTACCTTTCATTTGAGGATGCCCCACAGATGCTCAATAGGGTTTAGGTCTGGAGACATACTTGGCCAGTCCATCACCTTTACCCTCAGCTTCTTTAGCAAGGCAGTGGTCATCTTGGAGGTGTGTTTGGGGTTGTTATCATGTTGGGATATTGCCCTGCGGTCCAGTCTCCAAAGGGAGGAGATCATGCTCTGCTTCAGTATGTCACAGTGCATTGTTGGCATGCATGGTTCCCGCAGTGAACTGTAGCTCCCAAGTGCCTGCAGCACTCATGCAGCCCCATGATACTCCCACCACCATGCTTGACTGTAAGCAAGACACACTTGTCTTTGCACTCCTCACCTGGTTGCCGCCACACACGCTTGACAAAATCTGAACCAAATAAGTTTATCTTGGTGTCATCAAACCACAGGACATGGTTCCAGTAATCCATGTCCTTTGTCTGTCTTCAACAAACTGTTTGTGGGCTTTCTTGTGCATCATCTATAGAAGAGGCTTTCTTCTGGGACCACAGCCATGCAGACCAATTTGATGCAGCGTGTGGCGTATGTTCTGAGCACGGACAGGCTGACCCACCACCCCTTCAACCTCTGCAGCAATGCTGGCAACACCCATACATCTATTTCCCAAAGACCTCTGGATATGACGCTGAGCATGTGCACTCAACTTCTTTGGTCAACCATGGCGAGGCCTGTTCTGAGTGGAACCTGTCCTGATAAACCGATGTATGTTCTTGGCCACCGTGCTGCAGCTCAGTTTTAGGGTCTTGGCAATCTTCTTATAGCCTAGGCCATCTTTATGTAGAGCAACAATTCTTTTTTCTTTTAGATCCTCAGAGAGTTCTTTGCCATGAGGTGCCATGTTGATCTTCCAGTGACAGTATGAGAGACTGAGCGATAACACCAAATTTAACACACCTGCTCCACATTCATACCTGACACCTTGTAACACTAACGAGTCACATGGCACCGGGAAGGGAAAATGGCTAATTGGGCCCAATTTGGACATTTTCAGTTAGGGGTGTACTCACTTTTGTTGCCAGCGGTTTAGACATTACTGGCTGTGTGTTGAGTTATTTTGAGGGGACAGCAAAATTTACACTGTTATACAAGCTGTACACTCACTACTTTACATTGTAGCAAAGTGTCATTTCTTCAGTGTTGTCACATGAAAAGATAGAATAAAATATTTACAAAAATGTGAGGGGTAGACTCACTTCTGTGAGATACTGTAAATTGTCAAACAGACCCATATTTGTAAGCCCTAGTAAAGACTCCACAACTGTCTGTGGGTGGACTTACTAACTGTTGTCAGTATTTAGTTATTCTTATGACATAACTTGTCATTACAAAATAAATAAAAAATGCAGGTATGTTCTGTGATAATGACATACAGTAAATGGGAGTGTTGGAAATTTAAAAAGGACTTAAAAATACTTTACTACTGCAAATTCTTTAAAATTGTTTTTGTAATTTTTTTTTATCTACAGCAGCTCTAGCTGTTAACTCCAGATGGCTACTGTCATCACAAACATGGGGAGCACTCTTGCAGCAATTAATGTTTCCAGACGAGACACAGCAATGAGCCAAACAAGAAGGTGTTGATTATATAAAAGCACACAACTTGGCTTAATACTCGCAGCTCATTTGTGATGGCTGTGTATTCTTTTACTTGGAATTTGGTGTTCTGGAAGGTAATGAGATATTAAAGAGCTAATCATTTATGGAGTAGTCTGCAATGAGGAGGCATGACAGAATTTTAAGGCAGAGAAAATCTTTATCGCTTAAGTTTTTTAGCTAAAACCAGACTTTGTTATTATTAGAAAAAAAAAATCTAAGTCATTTATATAAAACTGTGTTTATCTCTAACTCACAAGAATTGTAGTAAAAATGCATAATGTAGATAAATGTTTGTCCCAAAATGTTTTTGTTGCTTTTACCTACAGAACATGTAGTATTCACAATTAACTGGAATGGCCCTGTCCATGACTGTGGCTACAATTGTGCTTCAGATGATGTTGGTCCAAGCCTTTAAAATAATCCTTGCTCAGATGCTTTGGTAAATAAATACAGCATTCCCCCAATACACTTTCCAGCTAGTTGGCTAAAAAAGCATATTTTTACCCTTTCAATATTTTAAGTTAAAACCAGAGGTTTTTGAGTGTCTTCGCCTATGTGTCTATAATATACCTAAGAACTAGAAAGTCTTGCTTATGTATTGGTCTGTTTACTTATGTCCCAGACTGGTCAGTTCTGGAATGCCTATTGTGTGTACTAAGTGTAGGATAAAACAGAATGCTATACAGTGAGGAACAGAAGTATTTGAACACCCTGCGATTTTGCAAGTTCCCCCACTTAGAAATCATGGAGGGGTCTGAAATTCACATTGTAGGTGCATTCCCACTCCGAGGGACAGAATTAAAAAAAAAATTCAGAAAATCACATTATATGATTTTTAAAGAATTTATTTGTCTTGCACTGCTGAACATAAGTATTTGAACACCTGAGAAAATCAGTGTTAATATTTGGTACAGAAGCCTTTGTTTGCAATTACAGAGGTCAAACGTTTCCTGTAGTTCTTGACCAGGTTTGCACACACTGCAACAAGGATTGTGGCCCACTCCTCCACACAGATCTCCTCTAGATCTGTCAGGTTTCCGGGCTGTCGCTGAGCAACACGGAGTTTCAGCTCCCTCCAAAGATGTTCTATTGGATTTAGGTGTGGAGACTGGCTAGGCCACTCCAGAACCTTGATATGCTTCTTACGGAGCCACTCCTTGGTTATCCTGGCTGTGTGCTTCGGGTCGTTGTCATGTTGGAAGACCCAGCCACGACCCATCTTCAATGCTCTGACTGAGGGAAGGAGGTTGTTGCTCAAAATCTCACAATAAATGGCCCCATTCATCCTCTCCTTAATACAGTGCAGTTGTCCTGTCCCCTTCGCAGAAAAGCACCCCCAAATCTTGATGTTACCACCCCCATGCTTCACAGTAGGGATGGTGTTCTTGGGATGCAACTCATCCTTTTTCCTCCAAACACGACGAGTGAAGTTTAGACCAAAAAGTTATACTTTGGTCTCATCTGATAACATGACTTTCTCCCATGCCTCCTCTGGATCATCCAGATGGTCATTGACAAACTTCAGATGGGCCTGGACATGTGATGACTTGAGCAGGGGAACCTTCCGTGCAATGGATGATTTGAAACCATGATGGCGTAGTGTTCTACCGACAGTGACCTTAGAAAATGGAAGAGGCTAAAGACGACTGCCAGTCTCCCTTGGACTGGGGCTCCATGCAAGATCTCACCTTGTGGGGTATCACTGATGATAAGAAAGGTGAGAAATCAGCCCAGAACTACAAGGGAGGAACTGGTCAATGACATGAAGAGAGCTGGGACCACAGTTTCAAACAATTGCTCCAACAGTTGATCTATTTTCACCAAGCTGCTTGGCAATTGCCCCGTAGCACTTTCCAGCCTTGTGGAGGTCCACAATTTTGTCTCTGGTATCCTTTGACAGCTCTTTGGTCTTGCCCATGGTAGTAGTTGGCATCTGACTGACTGTGGGGTGGACAGGTGTCTTTAAAGAGCTCAGACAGGTGCTACTAAGTTAGATTAATGAATGGAGTAGAGGTGAACTTTTTAAAGGCACAGTAACAGGTCTTTGAGAGCCAGAATTCTTGCTGTTTCTTAGGTGTTCAAATACTTATGTTCAGCAGTGCAAGACAAATAAATTCTTTAAAAATCATACAACCTGATTTCCTGAATTTTTATTTTTTTAATTCTGTCTCTCAGAATGGGAATGCACCTACAATGTGAATTTCAAACCCCTCCATGATTTCTAAGTGGGAGAACTTGCAAAATCGCAGGGTGTTCAAATACTTCTTTTCCTCACTGTACACCTTCTGCTACATTACAATGCAAGGTCAGAGTTCTTAATGTTGTGTTATAGTGCATGTATAAAAATAAAAACAAAAACATTATTAGAAAACACTACTTTAGAGATACCTCTGTAAACTGTGGTCCCCAACTCAGAAATACCTGAGCTCCTAGCTATATATACACTATATTGCCAAAAGTATTGGGACGCCCCTCCAAATCATTGGATTCAGGTGTTCCAATAACCTCCATGGTCACAGATGTATAAAATCAAGCACCTAGGCATGCAGACTGCTTCTACAAACATTTGTGAAAGAATGGGTCGCTCTCAGGAGCTCAGTGAATTCAAGCATGGTACCATGATAGGTTGCCACCTGTGCAATAAGTCCACCTGCACCCCACTTTTTGTTCATAGGACATGGAATAAAGGCTAATGAACTCAACTATGAAAATATTGGAATTGGGATGTAGAAAATGGCAACAGGTGCTCTGGACCAGTGGGTCAAAATTTTAAATATTTGGCTATAGCAAAAGGTATTTTGTTCGCAAAGGGCTGAAGAGTGTCCGCAGGCAACAGTGAAGCATAGTGGAGGTTCCTTACAAGTTCGGATCTGCATTTCTGCTAATGGAGTTGGAAATTTGTTCAGGATCAATCAGTGGTGTCCTCCAAAGCTGAGAAACACAGGCAGATACTTATCCCTCTTGCCATGCTATCAAGGATGCTTGTAATTGGCCCCAAATTTATTCTGCAGTAGGACGACGACCCCCAAACATACAGCCAATGTCATTAAGAGCTATCTTCAGTCTAAGAAGATCAAGAAGTCCTGGAAGTGATGATTTGGCCCCCACAAAAGCATGATCTCAACATCATGAAGTCTGTCTGGGATTGCATGAAGAGACAGAAGGATTTGAGGCAGCCTACACCCACAGAAGATCTGTGGTTAGTTCTCCAAGATGTTTGGAACAACCTACCTGCTGAGTTCCTTAAAAAACTGTGCACAAGTGTATATAGAAGAATTTATGCTTTGAAGGCAAAGGGTGGTCACACCAAATATTGATTTGATTTGGATTTCTATTCTGTCCATTTACTTACCATTTTGATAAATGATAAAAATAAACTATTAACACTTTTATTTTTGAAAGCATTCTTAATTTACAACATACACACCTGCCTAAGAATTTTGCACAGTACTGTATACACATGCAAGTTGAGAACAGGTTTTCCTGTTCAGCTTCCAGGTAGCCCAATTCTCCTTCTTATTCTTCCAGGAGCCCCAAAATAGCTCAATGCAGCTGAAAACTTCCAGTGTGTCTCTGTACTAAATCCAGCAAAGAAACAATAGCAGCCACTTAAAATCAAGATATAATCTAGCAAAAGTTAAGATGCACAAAGGCAGGTCAGGGCAATCCACAGAATAATACAAAAATGAGCCAGTTCAATTTCCAGTGAGTTATCCCAGAAAGACTATTACATCTGTTTTAATATAGTTACATAGTAGATAAGTTAGAAAAAGACACAGGTCCATCCAGTCTAACCTATGTTTGTGGGTGTTGTTGCTTTACATGAATTTAAAATTGTATGCAACAAAAAGAAAAAAAAAATACCTTAAAATGTTGAAACCGTTTAAATATTTTTGTGTGCAGATTAACTGGAAAACGTACTGGGGACTGGCTGTATTGTTCTTAACCACTTCAAGTCCACCCCCTTCCTGCCCAGGCCACTTTTTCATTCACCGCTGGGATTTTTTTTTTTTTTTTTGCTATATAAATGGAAAAAGTCCAAAAAGTTAGAAAAAAAAAGTGTTGTTCTTATAAAATTTTGCAAATAAATAATCCTTCATAAATCTTGGCCAAAATGTATCCAGATATCTTTTTGGTAAAAAAAAAAATAGCCCAAATTAG